TTGGGTTTTAAGAGCTCTAGTATTTCTTCTGATGAAGATGCTCATTGTTCAGTTCTTTTGTAATCACTTGCTAATGCGGTACGGGAAACTGGATTTATTTGGCTAACTTCAGGTTTCTAAAAATTTGGTTTTCAGAGCCTCAGCTAGTCATGGAGGTTGGAGAAACAGGCACCTCCACTGTGCAGTTCACACTGTTTATACTGCGTGTTGTGGGAACACGTTACCCTCTGCATGTACCTGTCTTTCCTCGCCCTTTATAAAGGCAGTCTAGACGATTTAAGAGTGAACTGCCGGGAACTCCCTAGACTTCCTCTTGTGGCTTACTGTGTAAATGTGTATTCTCGTGGCTCAAAACATATCCATTAACCTTCCATTGTAGCGCTTCATGTGGTTCTGTATTTTTTCATATTCTTCCTCCTAAGTATCCGCACAACAGCCTGGGTTGCTACCTTTGCTTAGGCGGTTCAGTGTAGCACACAGGGCAGTTTAGTTCATATGCCTTGTTCCTGTTGGACTGGTGCTTTAGCTTTCTGCGTTTGTTTGCTATGTTTGGAATTCAGCTGAGCAGCTGCATTTCAGCGTGATATGGTCCATTAACCAGCCAAAAGGCCTGGCTTACGCGGCAGTTCACCTTATTGCTGTAATATTGTGAAAACGAACTGCTGGAGGGGAGCTTGATGGGAGGCCTCATTCCCCAGGCTGAACAAACAGTTCTGATTCCAGGAACGTATTTAAAAAAATAAAAAATAAAAATAAAAAACTCCCTGAACGCAGGGTGGGAACATTACAAAAGATTAAAAAGGAAAAAAGTTAAGCCAAGACTATAGGAGAGGAGAAGTGCCTGATTTAAAGACGAATCAAAATGTTCTTCAGAAAGAAAATCATAAAACTTCTGCTTCCTGTTAAAGGGAACGAATTAACCAGTTCATTCAGTGAGCTAAACTCCACAAATGGGCCCTAGGAGATGCAATAAATCTTTCAAACTAGCTGAGAGATGCTCAGGAATGAGCTGGAAAAACTCTTTTAGCTGCTCTGGTGATCGAATACGCGAGGGTTTTCCTTTGTTAGTGCATGCCCCTTGCCAGCCTGTTGCACTTTGATTCCCAGAACTACCTGTTATTTGACACAGTGAAGGGAGGGAAGGAGAGATGGAAAGCATGCGATTGATTTTGGAGTGGGAGATGTGTATAGAGCTCAGATTCTCATCGAGAGGTAGGTGTTTAAACACAGCAACCGTCAGTGGATTTCAGCAGCCTGCACCTGAGTCAGTGACTTCATTGCAGAGAGGTTGTCAGGAATCAGTGGTTCAAGATGATACTGCTCAGAAAAAGAATTTTTTTTTTTTAAAAAAAAGTGCATATTAGTGCGCTATACATTATTTGCCTGGGTACATGGAACTGGAAAGGACGGTGTGATAGGGTTAATAAATACAGAGACGCCAATTCTGGGCAAAGGAAGCTTCCTGAGCAGGGGATAGCTGGGGACTGGAAGAATATTCTCTGCAAGTGTCACTGTGTACTTGTTCTCTTCTTGTGTCTCTTCCAAAGTAGCCTGCTCATGGCCGTTGGTGGAAACGGATCTGAGCTAGGTGCATCTTTGGTCTGATCCTTTATGGTCATTATTACAAACCACATAGGTCACCAGGTCTGGTCCTTACCGTTGCAGGAAACCATAGCAATTGACTAATATTCATAGGACTTTTAGTGTAAATGCTAAAGTGTACGAGAAGACATCACCACTAGTTTCCCACTGAGATGCGGCTGAAATACCTTTCTGATTCAAATTTGGTAACTGGCTTGGATCCAGAAGCCAAAATCAGAGCCTGAACACTGAGAAGTTCACCTATGAGGCAGGAGACAGATTTATGTGATAGACATGGGGACCTCAAAAATTCATGCAGTGACGTCAGAAGCCGCAGCAGGTGGTGGTCTTAGCAGACTTCCCATTAGCAAAAGTAAGTTTTAGCCTATGCTATCATCTTGATGCTAATAGGCACTGTCCCCTCCAAACACACACAAATGCATGCACAGATACGTAGGTAAAGGGCTTGGGATTCAAAGGGGAGAGTGGGATTTAATGCACATGTAATCATCAAGTGTCATGTTTGCTCAAAAATTAGAAAAATCGAGTCATCCTTCCAGCAAAGGGCCTTCAAGTATGATTGTGGCCCTTGTAATTTAGTCATTTCTCCAACCATGCAGAATTCCCCCAAAACATCTGTAGTGCTGAATAATATATTTAGCTTAACGAACAGAAATCCTGGTAGCCAAATTAGAAAATAAAACATGTAGAACAAGCCTGCGAGGATTGTATCAGTATATGTTAATTCTTTTAACTATGCCTGGGATCTTCACCGGCAAATAAGCCAGGGTAGGAAGTGTATTGTTGTTGCTGCATCCCACCCCTTCTCCCTTGACCTGATTCACGTGGTCACAACAGGTTGCTGTTCAGATGAACGTGACATGAATACCATTCTTACCATGCTGTTTGTTTACACAGCTAGATAAACCCCAGAAGTGTAAGGCCTTGAAAACGTGCAGAGTTTGTTCCCTGTGGCACAGTCCTTCAATTAGGAAGCACAGGCAGGTGTCCTAGCTGTGCCCATGGTATGCAGGGAAACAGGAGAGCTGGCTGTGTAGGCTCCCCCCGTGCAGTGCGTGCACCACCTTTCTCGGATGCTATCAGCCTCCCCTAGAGGGGACCACAGTAAGAATTAGGCAGGCAGGGAATAACGCGCTATTACGTATTTGCTTTCTTTCAATGGATGCTACTGATTTCAGCATGTCAGCATTAAAACCTTGTCCTTTGTCCTCACTGCAATCGGTGGTGCAGTTCTCACCTCTCTGGTTTGCACTACTGGTGTGCAGTATTGTCCCAGTAAGTTGACAGCATGAATGGAATCGTACAGTATGCCCACCCTCTTATCAAGCTCCTTATCCCGGGACATAAGGTATCGTTTGATGGTGGAAAATATATCCTCTTCACTGAGTTGTTACTAACGCTGCAGTGCAGTGCAACATATTTTAGCCCTTTCTTGGCAATTTCTTGAGTAACGTGTGACTTCTTCCCTGTCTACTTTAAGCCTTAAACTTTCTTCTTCGAGATGTTTTGAATCTTTTGGCATAAAGGAATAAGTGTCGTCCTTCAAGGATGCTCTTTGAAACTATACTGGATTTTAGGAATATCTGTTGCGCTTGCTCTTATGTCTGCTCTGTTCTCAGACATTTAGCTTACAGCGTTGTGGATGACTGATTCGCATTTACCAACATGCTAGAGCTCTCCAAAGGGTGTCAATGTGTAGTCCACTCAGCAGTGAGAAGCAGTTGCTTATCCTGGCTCTGATGCCTAAGCGAGCGTTCTGTCTGGTTGACTCCCAACGCCGACAAGCGTGGTGCTACTCTGAGCTCAGAGTGGATGTTGAGACTTCCTTCTGCAGATGTCTTCCTGGCTGTGTTATATGGAAGTTGAAATTTCCATTGCAGCTATAGAGGAGAGCAGAAGGTAACCAACTCTGCTGTTTTTCTTTCCCAAAAAAGCACTTGGTTTCCAATGCTCCTTCTGTGACATTGCTTAATGTGTAAGGCCCCTGTTTGCTCAGCAGTCTGCACCTTGCTACGGAAAACAGTGTGAAAGAGTGTAAATGCTAGTAGCACACTACTAGAGTCTTAACTGACTGCTTTTTGACTCTCCCTCAGTTTCTTTGGGCATCCTGTATCTCAGGTCCAGGGCCTAATCTATTATTGTGGGACCTACCTGACTGATATGCCAAACAAATTAACAGGTTTGGTTCTGGGCAGTACTCTAGCGCAGAACAGATGTGCCCTCAACCCAGGATGCATCTGCTGATTCCCAGAGAACCATTTAAAATGAGTCTTTTCTCTGGCTCTAGGTAGTGTATTTGACTGTTTGCTGTAAGCCAGGGGAAAAAAAAAAAGCCGTGAAGCGGCTGGGGAAGGGAAACCATAGAGCATCTCAGTTCAGTGGCATTTAGAGGGGCAGACTGGCAGATGGCATTTACTGCTTGATATAAGGGGATTCGCCACGTGACCTATTCAGAATCTGTGTTGCGTGGCAAATTGATAAGACCTGGCATCTAATGCAGTAATAAATCTAGATCATCATAGGAGCTGTGGCAAAAAGGTGGTTTGCAGAGGAATCGACAAAGATGTGAGCTTTTCCATGGAGATGTGGTGACGCTGGGAAGAGCTCAATCCTAATTTTCTTTCCGTGTTCACAGCAGTTTTATCTTCCTATTACAAATAAAATGATTTGCTCCTCCTTAGACCTGTGAGGATGGACAGATAGCTCAGGCAGCGGATGTGCCATGGGGCTGAGAAGTCAACTGTAAGGAATTAGTTGGTGAAGTGGCTTGAATATTAACTTGACACCTAATTATATCCTCCAGGCTTATTTTTTCCATTCTGTTGTACCCTGGTCTTTCTGCAGTTTCTGTGAGCGTGGTATGTTGTGTAGCTATCTAAACCCAGTCATGCTCTAATAGACACTGGGGATCAAATTAGCAGTCAAAAACTCAGCTGACCCTGGGGCAGAAAGCAGCATCTCTTTGACATTTATATTCACTTAAACCAAGCGCTATAGATGAGTCCCGTAGAGATCTGAAACTGAAGGAAGTCGTTTGGCCAAAGAGAGTGTATTTACTCAATTGTACAGCTCGTCTGAATGCTGGATTTAACACCACAGTTCTTGTGGGAGTTGTGATGGAACGTACACTGTCTCTGCTTGATCAGAATTGACTTTTTCTGAACTGACCCACCGTTCTCCATGGCATTTCCTTAAAGCTTGGCGTTTCTTTAAAGCAAAGAGCACCTCTGACCAGTTTCACCACCAGCTCCTGCAGTTACGTCTCCTACAAGCTTTCTCCTCTAAGGGGGAACTCAAACAGTAACACAGTTGGGCTTAGTGTAGGGGACCTGGCCAGACTGCAGCCGGGGCTAGGACTTACTAACATGCTCACCTAACTGATGACACTTTTTCTTTAGTTCCCCAGGTCCTCAAGAGCTGCACTGAATTCATTGAGAAACATGGCATTGTGGATGGAATATACCGTCTGTCTGGGATCGCATCCAACATCCAGAAACTACGGTAAGGGCATGCGTTTGAAGAACGCGCTTGTATGGGACGAATGAGACGTGTAGTAGGTTTAAGTGCCGTGCTTTCAGAAGCCGGGCGGGGGGGGGGCGGGCTCTCCCAGCCGCTCTGATGCCTGCGTGCAGTATGTACCTAATGGAAGGTATGTTAGCCGTGTTATTGTTTTCGAGGGCTTTTTTAGAGGAAGACAGACTTGTTCAGTAGACTGTGTTTTGCAGGAAGTTTTCCTTCCGGATAGAGGAACCGAAGGCTCTAGGATTGTGGGGTCTGTGCTGTGAAATTTCATTCTGGTTTTCTCTTGCTCTTGGAGCCCTTCTTTAGTAGCTGATATTTCTCCTTGCTGCTTTGGACTCCTGGCATATTAGGAATTAACTCATAACATGTAAAGAAACACTTGCGTAGTTCTTGGTGGGCGGTGTTGCCAGGCTGCATAGCTGTGCAGGGGAAGGCTAGGTGCGTGTCTTCCCCAGTGAGGAGCTGTTCTCATCAAAACAAATGGTCTCCTTGCTTCTGTGAAGCCGTTCTTCCTCCCATCGTTTTCCTCTCGTGCATTTTTCTGTCATGAAGGGATCAAGCAGGATGTTCCCACAGCCTCACAGAGTCGGCAAAGGGGTATTTTCTGTACAAAGGATAGCCTTCTTGTACCAGGTATTCCCAAGTTAAATTGACAGGTTTGAACCGGTACGGTTACTCTACACACCCTTGCCTGGATGTGCTTATTACCTTTCTCATCCTAGCAAGTAACGTTTTAAATCTGCTCCTAAGGCTCTGAGATGCAGACTCTGGAGACTAATTGTAGCTGCTCAAGAGGCTGCTGCCCACAGCAGACTCTGCAGAATACGACATTAGCCTGTACTTCAGTTACGTTACGTTACTTTACTTCCCCTTTTTGACTTTTGCCAGACTATCCTTTCTATTCTCTCCCCTAGTCCGTTTTTTCCCTGGGTGTTGCGAAGACCATTTTCTCCTTTGATGTTCTCCCAAGGTGCTTTAAAAATGTTTTTCTAAAACTTTCATTGCATAATGCCCAGGTATAGTACGGAGAATGAAGTGACAGCCTATTTTTTAATTTTCTGAGATGCTACGAAGACGCAAGGATCAGTACGTGGTACAAGTTGTAGTCACTCTTTCTGTTGCTCATCTAAATCACTACAGATTTTCATAAGTGTTTGATTAACATAGGGCACATTGCTTTGCTGTAGTTTCCAGCTATATAAACAGATCATTAAGCCTATTTCAAAGCTAGATCTGCCACAGCCTTATAAATCAGCAACTGTTCTTAATTTTCAAATTGGAGAAGAACCGAATCTCCCAGTTTTAAAGGGTTTTTTGGTTGGACACACAGTTATTTATTCCACATGGGAGAACTACTTCGAGACAGAGGTTGGCTCTTCAGTAGCGCAGTAGCTGCCTTTATTTGGCTGTTGGGCAAAACAGAATGAGTGTTGAATTTGGTACGTTTAATCTCGTATTCTAGATCTGGCTTTTCTGGAGATGCTGGGAAGTTGAATTCTGACACTAACAAAATCTTTTGGGAGTCAGAAGAAATAACATGTAGTTCCTAACAACCAGGGTAGATACACAAAGAGAAAAGACGTAGGGCACCCTTTCTTTCCTCCGTAGCCTGCCGCTGCAAGGCGGCTAGCTCTCTAACGTGGCTTGGGGTTTATTTCCAGGAAAAACGTGCTGGGGTACCAGGAACAGCAGGGCAGGATATGGCTAGAAAATTTCAGTCAAGGCTCAGTTTATTTGCATGGGGAGGATGATGCCGAAAGTGGGGTTTGGTGTGTTTCCCTGATCTCCCTGGTGTGTTCCCTCTTTTTCTGTGGAGCCAAGTGGAGGATATAAGTTTCTCTTCCAAGTATGAGTAAGTGATGAGTCAGAACATGCCTGTGGGAGCAGTATATACTGAGCCCTGAGGTCTGTGGCTACAGGGAATCCGTCCATTTGGGAAAACAAAAACCTTTATTTCCTTCTTATGTGCTGTCTTTGGGATGAGGAACTGGGACTGTTCACTCCTCTGTCTCCATGTAGAGGTTCTCAGGAGACCTCTTCTGCCTCCTCCTGTCTGGAATGGTATAAACAGTTTCCCTAAGACCGTCACCTTGTCCAGGGGAAGGAGGAGCCCCTATCTGTTCTTGTAAGAAGGGACGTACACTTGACTGCTGAGGTTACAAAGCATGGTTTATCTATCTTCAGTGTCATAAACTGCGTGGCTTGGACAGGGGAAGAGGGGAGGGATGTTGCCACTAAGCCCCTGATAGTTGTGGTTGTAGTAGACAGGGTGACTCCTTGCGACGACAGTCAGCAGTTTGGTTTACAGCTTAGACTGTTGTAGGGAAACTGAGCTTCGGACAGAGCAGCCATGTTCGCGCAGCTCCCTGTGGCCTGACTCACCATGCTTGCCCCTCAGAGCTTGCCTGTTGATTTGAAACAGCAATTTCCATGTGCATATTCCAGCAGTGAGCCGGCCTTGGCCTTCTAAGCTCAGCTATTATTTCATAAACATTTGTGATTTTGGTTTTTCTCTCTCTTTCTGAAAACCACGGGAACGGCTCAGGGATTTTCTTCATGTGGTTTCATCATGGGGCAGAGGCATGCCTGGCTCACCAGCTTGTACCCAAGGCATTGCGGCGCGCACAGTCATTTCCACGTGCCACGGCTGCTGATGGGCACTGGTGTTCAGCCAGGCTTTAGCGTTTCAGTGTCCAGGCCTTTGATCCGCAAAGGGGGCGACAGCTTTCATTCAGACCCGTGGGGACTCTTCCTCCAGGCAGTACCCTGGGGAGGTAAACATTCAAATTGGAAAACATTCTCTGAAGACGCTGGAGTGTGTCTGCCTTGTTTCAGGAAGAGTGATTTGCAGACTAGCCAATCAGATGGTAAAACTAACTGGAAAAAGTTAGTTAGTTTTCCCTCCCCTACGACCCCCGAAACCCTCATTTTGGAAAAATGCAAGCTAGCAGCACCACAGACATGGCTCGCGTGGCTTTGGCTACTCAATATTTATTTTCTTCCTGTAAACCAGGCCCTTGCTTTTTCTGACTGTAATTTGTTGTGGTGGGGTGTTTTTTTCTTTCCTCCCTTTCAAATCCCTCTGCCCATTTTCTTGTTCTCATCTCCAGCCACGAGTTTGATTCTGAGCAGATCCCTGACTTAACAAAGGATATTTACATCCAAGATATCCACTGCGTGGGCTCCCTCTGCAAACTGTACTTCCGGGAACTCCCCAACCCTCTGCTTACATATCAACTCTACGAAAAGTTCTCAGTAAGTACAAGGCAATGTCTTTCACTTGCTGCTGCTTCTCTGGGCCGCTCAGCACGACCTGCGTTGGCGGTACGTGCGCTGGATAGAGATAGACTGAAAAGGATTCAGCAGCTGGCCACACCTGTCCTCCATACACCTTTCTTGGGCTAAATTTTGTTTAAGTTGGGGTGTTTATAGATACCCAAAGTGCAGTTGAACACTAATCCAGCTGATGCTACCTGCATGCCAGATTCCCAACTACTGTTAGCATCCTGCCATTTCAAAAGCAGGAGCTGGGTGCAGCAGTGCCCCAGGGCCTTAGGTTTGCTGACAGCTTGTTCCTTTGTGCCATATTCTACCCTGTACTGATGCCACTTTTGGGACTCCAGTGGAAGGGGCTATTGTCTGTAGGTTAGCTGGGTATTAACAGCGCTTGTGAGAATTTCCCCACCTTTTGCCATTCTCAGTGATGTATCTAACTGGAGCAGGCTTAGAAGTAAATACTGCTCGGCGCTGAATGCCCACTGTAAGGAATTGCTCTGTACACTCAAGCTGCACTGGGCCAGACCTTGATTTACTTGGCTGTTACCACATCAGCTGTGCGCCGGGCTGTCTCCAGAGATATCTCTTGCAAGGTAGAGAGGGCAACAAATCGTCTCAATACTGCAGAGCTGTACATTGGCCCTATAGTTCAATAGGCTGCGGTGGGTTTCTAGCCTTATTTGCATCCAAGTCATTTACTGCATTGTTCCAGGATGCCGTTTCTGCTGCTACGGATGATTTGAGCGGTTGGTTAAAATTCACGATGTCATTCAACACCTTCCCCCTCCTCACTACAGGTTAGTGCGAGCTTTAATCTGTTAATAAATAGCACTGTATGCCTATAACGTCAAGCGTGAACTGATGCTGTTCCAGGTTTTCCTCTTCAGATCGCTGGATTTTTGAGACTACAGTGGTCCTATGTTTATAAGACTGGTTTATGGCTGTATAAAGTTGATTCATATTTTAATTAGCTCAGTACCAAGACAAATGCCATATACCTTATGTACATCTTATTTATTTGACTTCCTCTAGAAAGTATGCAAGTACAAGCTCGTTATGTCAGAAGGGGCTCATATCACTCAGTAAATATTTTTATTCATATAAGGGGAGGGGGGGGAACAGGTGCAGAACAGTACCCTCTGTAAGAATAGCATTCAAGTGAAAAGGAGCAAAACATTATTTCAGGACTTTGGTTTAAATTGTTTAACTGCATCTTGGCCCCCCCCCCCCCCCCAAAAAAAAAAAAAAAACATTGTTTTGTTTAACTCTGTATGACAGTACTGAATATGTCAATCACAAATAGCAGCAGTGGCTTAAGAGCAGGTCTCTTGTCTTAGGTGCGTTAAATACAGGCAGGATAGTTTAGACACTTGACCGGATCATGCTGTATCCTGGGCTCATTGCTTGCAGTACAGAGGTGGCACCATAAAGCTGTATCTGTTATTATTTATAATAGCAATACCAATAAAGAGCTACTGATAATTATCTGTTAAGGCCTAATTAATATTGTATGCTTAATGGCCAATTAATAATAGTTCTGTTGCAGTTAATTAAGGAGGAAGGGACTTGAGGAGCACCTTTTCAGAAATAAACTATCTCCTGCGTCTGATTTTCTCTGGTGCAGTCCATGTTTTTCCTAAAACGGCACTGGGCTGGGACGCGAGGGGCACAGTTTATTTCAGAAAATGTACTCCTCGCGTCCCAGCCCAGAGTCATTTTAGGGAAAAGGTGGACTGCACCAGAGACAATCAGACGCAGGAGATAGTTTATTTCTGAAAAGGTGCTCCCGTGTCTAATTTTGCTCTGGTGCAGTCTCCCTTTTCCCTAAAAGGGCTCTTAGCTTCATGGGGGCTTTCAACCTGGTCTAATACTTGTTTAGCTTCTTAAAGATGCTCTTGCTTTTTTGCGTCTCTCTTATTCTTAGAGCAGGGAGAGGGTTTGAAAGATTTGTGGATGCAAATTGGTTTACAGATTTAGGTGGACAGTGATGCTGCAAGCACTCCACCTGCTGCTGCTAAGGCAGGGGTAGTGTCACACTTAGTAAACCTCAGGGATGGTTAAGAGGGCATGCTTTGGAAAGGGAAAGAAACAACCAAAAAACACTTTTATTGTTCTGCTAGTCTTCCATGAGTGTTTCCATGCAGGCAGGTAACTGGCGCTTGACAGTGTAGGAGGCAACAGGGCAAGGGTGGTTTCTGGGAATTCTGTCCGTTTTCCTTCCAAGCAGAAAGAGCTGTGTGCGTTAGCCTTGTTCATCTGTGAAATTTTGAGCCTGCTTGGGTGTAGAAATGCCCACCCCAAAATCCACTCTCTTACCACGAAGGGTGCGCTCAGTGAGACCGAGGCACGAGACACGGCTGCTGCTAAGCACCAGACCGGAGGAGGATGTATCAGCATTTTCATTACTACCTTGTACTGTGGCTAGTCCCCTTGCCTTCGTCCTGATGCTTGTCCTCAGTGTTGTTTTTTTTAATAAATAAAAAGTTTTATTTAAGGTGAACACAAGCCTGTGAAGTTTAGCTTTCTATCTCCTTTCCACGTCTATAATATAGCTGTAGGCAGTTATTTCATAAGCTAGGATTCACAGAGGAATACTGAGCTGATCTTGGTGTTTTCAGATAGGATGGGGTGGTTTTCCAAATTCTGGGGGGCAGAGGAGGGGGTGTATATAAAATATTCTCCATCTTACAATAGGGAAATTCAAAGTCCTTTCCCTCAAACCTGTGGCAAGCATTGCAGCCTGACTGAAACGCCATCAAATTTAGTGCAGTGGTTGTATTTCTCTTGCACAACCATACAGCAAAGCAGCCAAACGATGGTTTTTCCAGGGCTCGCTGCGTCTAGATCCTGCTGTGCTTGCGGCACTTAGATTATTCCTGTCCACCTCAGTAGTCTTTGCAGCCTGTCATTTGAATAAGAGGGTACATAGTTCAACTTTTTTTTTTTTCTGTGATTTGTCAAATCAAAAGAAAATAACGACCTGTGGGTTTGTTTTGCAAATTGCAGCATGGCACGCTAACTAGTGCTGAACATTTGCCTCTCTCCTTTTCCAGGACACTGGAGTTCCTAATGAGACACTTAGCTCGTCTAGCCGATTACTGCTCCATCACAAATATGCACACCAAGAACTTAGCAATTGTCTGGGCTCCAAACCTCCTAAGGTATTCCTTTTCGTTTTTTTCCCCTCCCACATTTGAGTAAAAGGCTTCGATAAAATAGGTTTTTATACTTACATAAAGAGATAGTCATACTCTCCAGAAAAAGATAACTTTCAGCCACCTAGGAAAAGAACCTCTTCCTTTTTTCCATCCAGTGTGCTCATCTGTAGAATTTCTAACAAACAGAACGGTTTTCTGAGCTTTGTACAATACCACTGCATTAAACTGCTGGCTTTCAGTGCATCTGGAAAGAAGTTAATACTAAGCTCCCCCACTTTGTGCATGCATACTTACCTCAGTCTGGACCTGCCACACATGCTGCTTTTCCTTCTAGACCCATGTGCTCCTCTTGCCTATTTCAGTAGGAATCCAATCTGAAACCAAAACGTGGCTATAAATCACCACAGTCAGTATAATCTTTGTATAAAGCTTTGATGCGATTTAATCCCTTAACTGCTCCTAACATCGTATCTGCCTGAGCAACCAGGCACAATAGCTCCGCAGATGCTGAATCCTTACCCAAAGTGAGCTCATCTTTCCACATTCTTCTAGCTGTTTGCATTTTATTTAATCTGCCTTTTCTTTAGATCAAAGCAGATAGAGTCTGCCTGCTTCAGTGGAACAGCTGCCTTCATGGAGGTGAGAATCCAGTCGGTAGTTGTGGAATTCATCTTGAATCACGTAGACGTCCTCTTCAGTTCCAAACTCAGCTCAGTCATACGAGATGGAGCAGGTGCGTGTCTTCCTCAGTCAGCTTTACCTTGATCAAAAGCAGTAGCAGACACTTAATGGAAACCTGAGCCTTCCCAGGGACATTTGAGAACGTTTGTAGGAAGAACAAGAGGAAACGTTTCCAGGGTATGATATTACAACCTGGCAAACATGGCCTGGTTTTTGAGATTGCTCTCAGTGCCTTTGTTAGAAGCCAAGGCTGCGCTACAGAAGCGACCACCTTAATATCTGGCTGCTGCTCTTACGTCCTAGCATCGAGAAACAGTAATGAATCACTTAGAAAAGAAAAGGGGGAAGGGAACAGGGGGAATGAAGTTTTTAAACCAGTGTCAACTGATGTTCCTGCATGCTCATCCATCTCAGCTAATCTTACACTACAGCACAATGCATGACCGACCTTTCATTACCAGCATCTCAGAACATAAATAGAAAGGTCTTGGTTCTCAGCAGTGTTGACAATGAGAAATTTAGTCTTGCTCTTAATGGGAAATATTTTGACATCAGCTATGCCAGTGTTACACAGCTCAGTCTACACTGGTCTTACAGCTGTTGCCCAACTCCATCCTTGCGCTGCTGATTTGTGGCTTTAGGATGCAAGAAATGAACTGTGACATGTTTGTACCAGGCCCTGCAGCACTTGAAGCATCACTCAGCCCTCAGGCCTGGGACCTAGAAATTCCTTCAAGTAACTGCTAACAGGCTGCACGTGCACATGTTCCATTGAAAACAAATGGAGGTGCCCCAGGAAGAAAGTTCATGCCATATGTTGGATCAATAAATGCGCAGTCCGCAAGCAGCATTAGGCGTGCGCCACCTGCTTGGATACCTTTCCCTTCCAAGGGAAGTTGCCCAGTCGGTGCAGTTGCCACTATCTGTGGAGTCCAGACAGTGGTTTTCCAGTACATTTGCCTCTTCCCACTTCTCCACTAGCCCTACCTCCGCTTAGGATAGCGGAGTTGCTATCAGTCCAGCTTTTCTTCCTACAAGGAGGCAATTTTTAAGTCAATAGGAGCCAGAGGTTAGCTTGGCTGAACAGTAACAGTTCTTCACAGAAGTGTTCCCAAGCCACCACAAGCAGCTCTTCCTTTTCTAACTGAGCTCTGCCAGGGGAAGATAAACACGCTAAGAACCTGAGCCAAGTCATTATCCAGGCTTAGACTGGACCATGTACATTCAGCTAACTGCTTAATGACTAGGTCATTCGCATTCAGTACGCTTTAGCACAGAACCGAGGGGAGGCGGGTCAAGCTATTTCACAGCACATCAGCTAAGTTCAGGAACGTTGTGCTAGAGCAAGGCAGCATCGGCTGCGGTGCTTCCGGGAGTCTCTCTCGCTCTTTTTGAGCGCAGCTTCTTATCTGTACCAACCTGTAAGAGGGGGGAAATGGCATTCCCAAGCCTACTTTAAGCCATTCCAGGTAAGGCTATTTCAAAGACAGCTGGAGTACTGTATACACAATTCAGCCCAACGTCATCCCTGGTAGTGTTTACAGCTGACAAAACACACAAACACACATGCGACTGCACATTTATGTATGTGGACCTGTGGTGCTACAGGACTAACAGTAGGAATGGAGTCAACCAGGATGTTGGGGGTGGCAAGTACTCCCCTGCCCACTTACTCATGTGACAATAGCCATATAAATATTTGTAAAATAGAAGCCAGCTCTTATCACAGACTCCTCATGCTCTTTGTAGCAAGGCAGCCTGACTTACAGATCCTAGCAGCAGGAGGAGGCAACCTCAGTTACGTTTACAAAACTGAAATGTTTGCCTCCAAAACCACACACAAGCTGTAAAAAGCCCAAGGGCAGGACACACACCTAGGTTCAGTTTACTCGGTCCCGTTGCGAGATTAGTTTGAAGCAACTTAAGTCACACACGGTATTTCCTGTTGCACCGTGAGCTAGAATCTGGGAATAGCTAACACCAGGATTTTTAAGAAACCGGTCAGCTTTCTTTACTGAGGTTTGCATGCAAATGAAGTTTAAATAAAAGCGCATCAGTACCGCTTTCTAATCCACCTGTTCCTCCCACCCCCGTCTTTTTTTCATACAGCGAGGCACTGTCAATTGTGACTATTTTCTTTATCATAAACTAACATACCTCTGGCAAAAGTAATGGTTAAACTGATCATATCAGTCTTTTGCTGGGATATCAAAATCGTTGGGGGGGGGGGGGGGGGGGGAGGGCAGGGAAACACCATCTCCCTCCCCTAAACACACAGACTCTGAGCTTTGATTTCTGTGCTGCTGTTCTCTGATTCTGCCTCTTGTCTATGGTTTTCCTTTACAGGGCACAGTTCTTTATCACGGCCCAAGTCTCTGTTGGTGTCCTCTCCTTCCACAAAGCTGCTCACGCTGGAGGAGGCACAGGCACGGACACAAGCCCAGATCAACTCTCCCATCGTGGCAGACAGTAAATACATTGAAGTGGGAGAAGGCCCTGCAGCTTTACAGGGGAAATTCCACACAGTCATAGACTTTCCATCTGAAAGGTAGAGAGGCGTTTCCTTTCCAGCATGTGTTACAACTGGTTTTTCGATTACAGCAATTTGATCCCCAGGGGACTTGCTTGCACTGACTGTAATCATACGTGTGATATTGTAGCCAGTTTTCCACTCCCCTTGGACTCTGTGAGGATTCAGCTTACTTACAGTGTCTGGGGGGCATGGTTTAGCTACATAACTTCTGTGCCATTCCCTCCTTTCTGACTGGGCTACCCTTAAACGTATAGAGCCATGCTCTGTGTGATGCATATTGATGCCTGTACTAACCACGCACGCAGAAACATGAACAAGGTAAAACAGCCAGAACCATTGGGGTCTTTCAGATTTCAGGACCAAATGCCTCTTAACCAATCCTGGTTCTCCTCAAAGTGGAACAGTTGTGCAGACTTGATGACACTAGAAACGAAATATGGCAATGGGAGGAGGCCACGTGGCTTTACAGAATAAGTGAGAGATGCTTTTGAATACCTTTTATGGCACCCACACAGTTCCCGAAGGAACTGATAGATCTGCCAGCTAAATAACAGCCATCCTTTAGAAGCTATACCGTACAGATACGGAGTCTTCGTTCACCAGCACTGCATCTGCTTGCTCAGTGGGACTTACCCAGCAAGACTCTAGGGCTGAGCTATAAGAATGAAAACATCCTCAACTATTTAAATAGACCGAGTTTAAGCTTTTTTCAGCCGAAATCAGGTAGCGCTAAGAGCGAACAGCAAGCAGCAGGAGCTAGATACAGCCTCCCCTCACAATTTGCTCAATTTTCTCGTTCCAGAAAACGACCGCCCAATAAGATGAAGAAATCGCCAGTTGGCAGCTGGCGTTCCTTCTTCAACCTAGGAAAATCATCCTCCGTGTCCAAACGCAAACTACAGCGCAACCCCAGTGAACCCTCAGAAATGAAAGCCATAGCCCTGGCAGGTAAGGGTGCAGTTCCAGCTCTCAAAAAAAGACAAGTTTTTCAGAAATGCAGAATTCACGTTTACAGTGTGCTCTTATCTCCTTCTAGCGTTCAGGCCACGTATAACATCTTCAGTTAACTGCTGCCTTTCCTAAACAGAGCCCCAGTTAATTCGAGCATTAGAGGTTTGTGCTCTAGCAGGTCCAGCTCTTGTCTCAGGGTAGCTTTTGAAAGACAAATATATGGGCACCACTGTAATGAGTCTCAGAATAATTCCTTCTGACACTCTTAGGAAGTAAGAGTGCATTTCTGGCTCCATTTGCTGCTCTCAAGAGACACACATTTAAGGCACACAGGTAAAAAAGGCACTTGCTCCACAAACTTTTTCACACAGGAACTTTTACAGGGAATCAGAGAACTTTTTATAGCTGCATCCAATTGCATGTAGACTCTTCAGCCCCTTCCGTATGTAATTTGCCGTCTCTTTCCAGATTTCAAAACAGCAACAGTATGTTTTTGCAGTAGAACCCAGCACAAATCCCTAACATGGTCCAGTGGGGGCTTTTGTCCCATGTTCTCCCTGGTGCCATTTCCAAGTTACAACCTTCATAGTCTTCAGCATAAGAAACGCATCATATGCCTGTACTTTAAGACCTTGGAGCACTGAAGTTGTACTTGTTCAGTGCTCATTAAAATCAGCTGTGTAAACATTTGTTTCGTCTCCATTTTTAAGGAGTTTTATTTGCTGTTGAGGACACAGTCTTAAACCAATACAACTATCACAGCTATATCCAGACAGAGTCTGTAGTGAGACAACATGGGTAGTTCATTTCCCAACCTGTCACCTGCACAAGTTACCACTTTGATAGATTACTTTGCCCCGCTCTGTAAAGCGGGTACATATTAAAGCAGAAAACCAACAAGAACAAACCAAAAAACAAACATCCCCACCCCACACACAACAACAACACCACCACCACCTCGATGCACTCCTGTGTAATTCCCTCTTGCCCGATAGTACAGAACCACTGGTTGGAAGCGACCGACCTCTGCAAGCCACGTAGTCCTGCCTCCCATGCGAGCCAGGACTACGTCCATCAATATATGGACAGTAAAGCCCATTAACTCTGGTACAGGATAAAGGTTTTCTTTAAGGGCAGAAGTTTTTGCAAAGTCAAAGTTGTTTTCAAGACGATAGCACTGTTGCCAGAAATGCATTTGTTTCTTCTTGCCACCATTACATAGCCAAATATAAATCACTTCTGTAGTTCAGCTTTTCACTTTCTCGGTTGCACTTCCTTAGGTGGAAGAGGAGACAGCGGGACTCTTCGCTCAGCTAAAAGCGAAGAATCGCTTACCTCTCTGCATGCTGTTGATGGTAAGACAAATTTGCACCTGCACTTTCAATGCGTGTGAATTAAAGAAGGCAGTATGACATTACTGACTGCCAGTACTCAACAGAGCAGATCCCTCCCTCCCGCCCCAGTAAAAGTTGGACTTGCTAATTAACAAAGCAGCTTACCCTGCTGTGCACAGAGAAACACTGCAGATCTTTGTTTTCATTCCAAGGGTTTTTGTTTTTTTTGTTTTTTTTTAAAAAAAAAAAAACCACACACACCCCCACACCTAGCTTTTTCCATTTCTGTTCTAAGGTGGAAAATACAGCATCAGGAAGGAAAACACCTTCCAAAACTTAGGGCTGACGCACACTTAAACTAGTTTTGCTTTTACCAACAGCTTGCTTTCAGACTAAGTGAGACCAGACATCCTCTTAAAAAGAGTTTGAGTAAACTTAATTAACAAACAGCTACCGCTAGCTACATTACTTTTGTGTTCAGAGTTCCCCAGGTGAGCATCTTGCAGGTTGCTTTTAAACTACTTGCACAAAAACAACACTGAGCCATTACCTCCTGGACAGTAATACTGTGACAATAACCCTTACGAATCTACTTGTTCCTAGGTGAATCTAAACTGTTTCGACCCCGAAGACCTAGATCCAGCAGTGATGCGTTGTCCGCTTCCTTCAATGGAGAGCTTTTAGGAAACATGAATCGCTGCAATTCTTACGACAACCTTCCCCATGACAATGACAGCGACGGGGATGAAGGGCTAATCCACGTTCCCGCCCTTATTTCTCCTCGATCCGCTGAAGACGTTGACCTGAGCCCACCCGATATTGGAGTCGCTAGCCTGGATTTTGACCCAATGTCTTTTCAGTGCAGCCCACCCCAAGCAGAGTCTGAGTGCCTGGACAGCAGTACCTCCCTGATGGAGTCAGTTGGCATTAATAAGGAGAAGCCGAGCCTAATTAAGAAGGATATAGAATCAGGCAGCCAGTCTCAGACACCAGGCAGTGCCACGAGCTCTGAGCCAGTGTCCCCATTCCAGGAGAAGATGAGTCCCTTCTTCACTCTGGACCTGAGCCCCACTGAAGAGAAGGTCTCCAAATCCCATGCTTTCTCACCCAAGATAGGGCGAAAGCCCATCAAATCTCCACCACTGACTGCATCGGAACCAGTCTCCTTTGCACTGCCCAGCCGCATGTCAGAAGCTCTCGGAGGAGCACCCATCACATCCAGAAACTCCTCGGCTTCCAACTGGAGCAAAGGGATTGGCATCAGTGAAATCACAAACAGGTCCCCAACTCAGATGTCCTTGCCCCTGAAAAGCAGTGAAACAGGAGCAGGGGAAGGAGTCCACCAAGAGCTACAGCATGCCCAGCTAGTGGCTGCTGGCAAACCAGAGTTGCAAGAAGAAGGGGAGAGACCAATGTCAAGCAGTCAGAATAAGACTGTACCCACTGGACACACACAGCCAGGTACAGTGCATTTTCCTCCATTCTTTCTTTAAGTTCCAAAGGGGACCTGCTCTCAAAAAAAAAAAAAAAAAAAAAAAAAGAGTCCTTCTCTGCGTGCCTTTTAGGAGAGGGGATTGCCCATCAGTTCTGATCACAAGTGTCTTGCAGGGCTGTGCAGATCAGTAAGGTCTTTAACAGAAACCTCTGCCTTCTCCCTACATCACACAAAGCTCGGATATTTTCCATAGTACTTTGTATACCACTTTCTTTTTTTCATCCCGTCATACATGAAAATCTATAGCATGTCCTTCTAAATCATTTCAGCCGATAGACCATCTAGGACTTTTTAGTTTTAAAAAAAAAAAAAAAAAAAAAAAGTCTGCAAACACTTGAAGAAGGGACCTTTTTTGCCCAGAACCTTATGATCAAAATTGTATAAGGGTACCTCATTCTCTTCTACCTACTTCCTACCTCTCTAGAAATGCAAGAGGAGCCTTTAGACAATCTCTTGTGTTTTTTCCTTTTTGTGATGAACTGCTGTGCTATTGAGCAGCGTTTGCATGTGGGACAGAAGATACAGTATTTCGCATCAGAAGGAATTGCCACTGTGAAAGTGTGGAAAGCATCTATTTTTTATAATGGTCATTAAGGTTAGGTCACTCTCCTTATTGGGTAACATAAAATCACTCTTTCTCTCAATTTTCCCCCCATTAGGAGCAGTTGCCCTCGACTCCCCCCAGGATCCTGTTCCCGTCAGTTCTGTGTCTCTTATCCCTCCTCCTCCTCCGAAAAACGCAGCGCGCATGCTAGCCCTAGCGTTAGCCGAGTCCGCACAGCAAGCATCCGCTCAGTCTCAGAAAAGGCCAGGAGATGCTCATTCCGAAAGCACAAGTTACGGAGAGACTGAAGCTGGTACAGCTCTAGAAAAGCTCCATCTCTGTGCTGGTGCACCAGACAAGCTCCACCTGTATACTGGTCTGCCTGAGAACCGACTTCACTTCCAGACTGGTGCGCCAGTAGAGCACCAGGATTTTCAAGGTAGCAGCACACCTGGGGAGCAGAACCACCTGTCAGGTGCACCTGGAAACCGGGACCCCCCACCTCTCCACACTGGCATGCCTGGGGACATGCCTGGTAGCAGGGATGCAGAGCAGGAGCAATCCAGCTTCCATCCTGGTAAAGTGGGGGACAAAGATCACTTCTCCCCCCATGCTGGGGACTGGAACCACACACATCACCACCCAGGTGCACTGCCTGACTGGGAACCACCCACAACAGACTTGTCTGTAGATAAGCCCCACCTCCGCACGTGCATATCTGTAGACAAGCACCACGTTCCAGTCTGCGCAGCTGAGGACAAGCTTCAGTCTCCTCCCATTGTAACTGCTGGGGAGAAACCTGCCCTGGCTTCAATGCTGTATTTAACAACCATCCAGACAACAGCGACTGAGCCTAACCGCGGGGCAGCGGGTCCACACCCAGCTGGTCCATCCACAACTCAGGCAGATGTCATTGTTACAGCTGCTCCACGCACACTCACAGCCAGCCAGCCAGCACCATCGCAGAGGCAAGATCACCAGGCAGCGACGGGACAAGCGCCAGCCGCCTCTGCAAAAGCGCCGAGTAGTTCCAGTCAGGTAAGCGGATGCGCCCTCCTGCCTTGCGTGCATTTGCAAACGCAGCGTCTGCGTACAGCTAATCTGTAATTCTAGAAGGTTGAGCCCAAGGACAGTTGGTCCACATCCAAATGGGAAGAGGCAGGGAATCCCCTCGTTACTGGAAGTCGCATGTGTACAGGGCAGAGGCACAGACTTATAGGGAAGCATCACAAAGTTTCCTAAGTGAAGACAGGGGAACATCCTGATAAACGTGCTTGCACTGATTTAAAAAAAAAAAAAAAGGGGGGGGGAGGGGGAGCACTAGGTTGACTGATACAGGGAACGCTAGTTTAGAAGTGCTTGAAAACGGTAAGAACTTTTGCCTCCTCTTTTCACCGAGATAGAGGATCCTGTTCCAACACTCTTTAATAAAGCAGGTCAGCTTGATGGTGTGGGAGTTAGACATGGAAATGTTCTCTCAGCATGCAAACAGCTCCGGCCAAGGAAACATGCACAACTGCCCTAGACACCGTAGCCACCTTTAAGGAAGCAACTTCTGCAGTATTACACTACTTATCTCTGCTTAGCATGGCACACCGAGTTCTAACTCTACGTGCATTTTCTCAGAGACGAGTACATTTATAAGCCAAGGGCCTAACCAGACACTGAGGCCACAGTGTAAAAGTTTTAACCTGTTCACAGAGAGACACAACTGCCCCTTTCCCTTTCCGCAGTTTGACATCTGCGGAAAGAACACAGGCTCCTTGGCTACAGTTTGTGACAGGTCCCAAAAACTCACTCGCAATCTCCCTGAAGCAGCATCTTGCCCTTGCTGTCAAAGGGAACATACACATCCTTTCTTCTATGGTGTGCAGAGCTCGGTCTCCGCAGTAAACTCTTCTGTACCCGCTTTCTGTTTACATTGAATTAGCCTGCACAAGCATCCCTGAGATTGTACTACAGAACGGGAGGAAGATGCTTGCCTCTAACTTGCACTGGTTTCTTCCCTATAGATATGGGGCGCAACGGCGCCTGAAAAGCCACCAGAGCCTGCCCCTGTTTTTGTCTCAGAAAGCAATTCTACCACCTGTGGCTCCTCATCCGTGCCCACGGGCCACCAGAGCCATTTGGAAAAGCCTCGGGAGACTACGAGGGCTCCCCCATTGCACCTGCGGTCCGAGTCAGTCCCCGCTCACTCCTACAGCTTTACACCCCCCGTCCCGCCTGTGAGAACACTGGAGAGCAAGATTGCTGCTGCCATGCACTCGAGCAACACGGACGCCATCAACAACTCCAATTATCACGCCTTCCTGGCTTCCTCCATGCTGGCTTCCTCCGTGGAGGAAGCTTTGCTGCCACCACCACCTCCCCCACCTAAGCATGCTTCCCTGCAGTCCGTGTACGTGCCGCATCCCAAGCCAGAGAGCATCCCCGAGTCCTCCGGGCCAGACAGCTACCTTCACCACAAGCCAGCTTCCACCCATCAGTACAGGCCAGAGAGCGTTCCTCCTCACATCTCCTACCACAGCAAGCCCGACCAGCACCAGTCCTACCCTCCCAGGTCAGACGCGCCCACATCTGTGGCCACTCGCTACAACACCTACACAAGCCAAGGGAAGAGCACTTCAACTCTCCACTCCAAGCCTCGCAGTCGGACAGAGTTTGTATCCTCCGTGAGCCCGACTGGCCTGCGTAACACCGGCTATACGGAGGATGTTCCGCCCTACCCCACCATCCGAAGGGTTCAGTCACTGCACGTGCCCACCCCTGCTGCCTCCGCTATCCGCTCCGTTCCCATTTCACGGACTGAGGTGCCTCCGGACGATGAGCCGGTGTACTGCCCGCGGCCCCTCTATCAGTACAAGCCATATCAGCCCCCTTCCGACTACCACGTAACTCAGCTGCAGCCTTACTTTGAGAACGGGCGGGTACATTACCGCTACAGTCCTTACTCCAGCAATTCTGGTTCCTCCTACTACACCACTGCTGATGGGAGCTTTTACGACTTGGACCCCTACAGTACTGTGCGGGCCAGGCCGTTTCACCCCCTGCCCAGCCGAGACTTTGCCTCCTACGCCTCCCGGCTTCAGAGCAAAGGTCTGTACCGCTATCCTGGCTTGTCTGCCTACCCCCGGGGTGGCCTCATCAGCCACCTGACAGGTAAAGAGCACAGCTTTATCAGCAGAGATGTACCTCCTGCCCCAGACATCAAACATATGTACATGTCATTGGACCTCGAGGACATGGAGAAGTACCGCATGCAGTCTATTCGCCGAGAGAGCCGCACACGCCAGAAAGTGAAAGGGCCCGTGATGTCCCAGTACGATAACGTGGCCCCTCTGCTGCAGGAGGAACTGGGAGGGCTGGATGTCATTCACTTGCGCAGCAAGTCAGATCCTGGGAAAACTGGCCTCCTTACTGTGGCAGAAGGG